CGATCATCCCCAGTGTTTTTACGAAGCTCTAGGAACTCCTCGATATCCAAGTGCCATGTTTCAAGGAATGCACACATAGCGCCTTTACGCTTACCGCCTTGGTTAACAGCTACAGCAGTATCGTTGGCTACCTTGAGGAATGGCACTACGCCTTGCGACTTACCATTGGTGCCTTCGATATATGAATTCAATGCACGCACTGGAGTCCAGTCATTGCCTAGACCGCCAGCCCATTTAGAGAGCATTGCATTGTCACGCATACGACCGTAGATGCCATATAGATCATCAGGGATAGTCAGTAGGAAGCAGCTAGACAATTGACTGTGTAGAGTGCCAGCATTGAATAGAGTCGGAGTAGACGGAACATAGTCAAGAGACGAGAACATGTGGTACAATGCAATAGCACGTGTTGTCGGGTCATCTTCCTGAATAGACAAACCCATCGCAACGCGCATGAAGAAACCTTGGATTGTTTCAATTCGTTTTTCGTTATGGTGACACAGATAGCGGTCATACAGAGTTTGCAAGCCTAGATACGTCAGAAGCTCTGTGCGCTCAGGTCGGATTTGCTCGGCTAGACGCGGCAGATCAAATAGGCTAATCAGCTCAGGAGCTAGACGACGATTTTCCACCCCGAAGTGAATCATGTCGATAAAGGCTACGCATTCGTCTGCATTGTCAGTTAGGCCAATGGTTCGCATGACTTCTAAGTTCAGCTTTGCATTTTCCACTTGGGCAGCTAAGTAAGTGTAGTCAGGTTCGACTTCGATTAGAGGACGGATGGCCATTGTAAGGAGTTGGAATTCTTGCTCTTCCGTCATATCGGAGATTGAGCTACGATTGAATTCTTCAATCACAGGCTCTAGGTTCAGCCCGAAGTTTGCATTGATAGAATTCAAGAGTTCAAGAGTTTTTGGATTCATGTTCACTAGGTCTCTTAATTAGTAGAGACGGGGTTTAGTCCGTCTCTAGCATATTCATATTTCCAAGGAAATTTCTAACGAGCGATTTGGAAGTGTGGCCCATCAACTAGGCTTTTCCAATCCCCACCCCATGTTAGAGATACCTTGTTTTCTTTCGCCACTTCCTTGAACACATCGGCAACTTTTTTGTAATTGGCGAGGTTATAATTCACCTTTCCATCTACGAGTACTGCGATGTCAATTGCGTGGCCTGTGATGTGGTAGCTGTCCATTGTACGAGTACGTTTTTCTCGTAAATAGCGTGCTTGTGTTTCTTTAGTTCGAAGGCCTTCCACTACGATAAAGTCGAAGGGGCTACGGTTTAGTGCTTCAGTCACGATTGCCACTAACTTAGGGTTTACGCCAACCAAGTTGTTTTTTGATCGGTTGGAGAATTTGAAGCCCGAAGGGGTAGTCATTTGATTGCTCCTGTTGAATTGACTTTCAGCAGAAGCAAAATGAATTAGATGGTAATTGGGGAGGTTTATTCTTCAGCTAGATAGAGGTCTCGTGCATTTATCTTGAGTGGAGTCTCTCGTGCTGTCACTGTACGTAGTTTAATTTCTACTTCATTGGCACGTCTACGAGCTACGTTCAGTTGACCGAATTGGGAAGGGTCTAGTGCCAGCTTGACTAGTATATTCTTGATTCGGAGTTCTTCTAGTCGTAGTTCATAATACTCCTTAGAGAACAGGATGTCTTTAATCGCAGCATACGTCTTAGGTTGAGTTTGCAGGATAGCTAAGGCTTTATCGTATGAGCTTAAGAGTAAAACAGATGCGGCAAACGTGGCTTCGATCTCTGCTAATTGTTGTGCGGTGAACTTCTTCATTCTCTGTCCTTGTATGAATAAAGGGCTTCTAATTGAGCCCTTTATTGTTTCACATGTTTTTAGATGATGTGTTCGTCTACAAATTTCTCTAAACGATTCAGAGAGCTTTCTAGCTTACGTCGAACAGCCAGTAACATCGCTTCAGCTTCGGTGTTCGGAGATTCTTCTTCGTTTTTGCCGCCAACGCTTCCGTTTGCCACAGGACTTGTCTTTTCTTTCAAGACGGCGAACTTAGACTCCGCAGTATCGATTGTTTTGTTTAATGACTCGATTAGAGAGTCTAGATCGTTGACTTGACCACTGAGTTTGGTAGGGGCGCTTAATTGAGAGTTTGACATGTTGTTGGCCTTATAGGTCGATTTCACGGATGATTTCACGGAGGTTTGCGTTCAAGGTCTCTTGACGATTGCCAGCTATTCGAATTGTGTTTCGCAAGTCACAGCGAGATTCAACAGGGGCGGGGTCATTGCCCACTTTATCGTCTATGACGCGCTGTAGTGTGACAGGGGCTAATTTGTTTCGGAGCTCTTCCAGCAAGGTCTGGGTATTGTCTTGAGCAGCGAGTAGCGCCTTCGTTTCAGGAGTCATATATTGTTCGTTGTCTGTTTCATGCGGCATGGTAAATGCTCAATTTGTTGTAGGGATTAATATAGGTCTATCCTTTGTGAAGCGCTATGAACTCCTCAACTGAATCGACTACATTGTCAGAGATTTCTACAGTGTCAAGTCCGAGTGCCTTCTCCATACCTAAGCGCTGTGCGATCTGCATCGCTTGGTTCGGTTCATTGATTTGTTTCAATAAGGAGATTGCCCCAGCACATTGAATTTCTTCGCTAGAGTTACGTGTACGTCCTTCTTCCTCTGCATCATACATGTCGTCATAGTCCACAGTCTTGTGGCACGGGAACCCTTCACGGTGCTTGATCAGACGTTCCATGATGTCTTTCGCGGAGTCGCCTAGCCAGCCTTTGTTAGCCTCAAGGTCTTTTCGGAAGGGGCAATTGGCGCATGGTCTTTTTAGGCTGTACATGTTTCTTCTTTCCTAACAAATAAAGGCAGATATTTAGTCTGCCTTTACAATTCAAAGTTAGAGTGCTTTAGTTTAGTTGAACGTCCAACCTACACCAGCGCCCACAGAGGTTTTGCTTTGGCTGTTATATGATGTTCCGAACTTGATGGTCGTGTTGCCTTGACCCAACGAATGGACCGCACCAATAGAGATTGCATTCTCACCGTCATGATAACCCATGCCCATGCCTACAGAAGTGCGACCAATTGAAGACGGGTTCGGGAGAGATGCGATTGCGATAGCCGCAGCAATACCCGCAGATGCATGCTTGCGATTTTCTTTGACACGGTCTTCTAGACGATCCATACGGTCTTCTACTGCACCTAGGCGAGCATCATACTGAGGCACAAAGTCATCGAATGCTGATTGCAGGTTTTGGATAGATTCAGTGTTAGACTGGATTGCCTTTTTATTGGCCTCTACGTCCTGCTTGGTTTCGTTAAGGTCTGACTCTTGACGGTCTACCTTTGAGGCCAACGCATCGTGCTTACTTTCCAGCGCGTCCGTCTTGTCATTCAATGCCTTGTTCGATTCAGAGTCCGAAGTACCATTGCTTTGGAGGTCATCTTTCAAGGTTGAGTATTGCTTCTTGAGAGAGTCCAATTCTTTCTGATGTGCTTCGAGTTGAGCTTTCAGTTCAGGAGACGTCCCAGTTGACCCGCCCATATTTTTGATGTCTTTTTCCAGCGTGTTGATCTTGCCGTCTAAGACTTTGAGTTGTCCGATGTTGGCCGCGTCTGTGTCATAAAGGCCACCTGCAACGTTTGTGATTCGTCGCTCTTTGCCAGCCGACCCGATAGAGAAGATGCCTGATGTAGTGTCTTTGTTCTGCGTATTGGTGAACATGGCCACAGTGTCAATCAGTTGGACTTCAGCCTTAGACTGATAGCCTACCGCGACAGATGAATCACCTTCGGCACTGGCAGATGACCCAAGAGCAGTTGAGCGTGCTGCCTTGGCCTTTGCAGCATAACCGATAGCAGAGGAGAATTGATACTGAGAATCGGACAGTGAACCTACTGCGGTTGAGCCTACATTCGAAATAGACGAATCAGAGGTACCTGACTTAGCGCCTTGACCAATTGCGATAGAGTTCTTGCCGTTGGACATGGCAGACTTACCAATACCAATTGCACCATAGCCGTTCACTTGAGACATTTCAGCTTTATCGATACCGATCGCAATTGCACCGCCACCAGTAGCAGATGTTTGATATCCGATTGCAGTAGCTGCTCCAGCATCACGACCTGTCACACCGATGGCCTGTGAGCCAGCACCGATTGCCGTTGAGCCTTTAGCTCCAGCCACGTTTGCATTATCACCGATAGCAAGGCCACGTTCAACAATCACTTGAGTGTTTGCACCAAATGCGATACCGTTCTGCTTGTTCGATAAAGAGTTAGTTCCAATCGCGATTGCGTTCTCTGCCGACTCCCCAAGGGCACGAGTTGCACGGGCATTTTCACCGATGGCGATTGTGCCTTTGTCAGTAGAGTAGGTCTTTCCACCTACCGCAATTGAGGTGTCCGTTTGGGCTGCTGAATAGTCTCCGATTTGAACAGGTGACGCAGCGAATGCGATACTCGCAAGAGGTAGGGCTAAGGCTAACGCCAGCAATGATTTTTTCATGTGTTGCTCTAGTAGAGTTGTAAAGTGGTTTGAGTGGAGCAGATACTCCGTGTGACTTATATAAAGACGGCTTACGAAGTCACACACTACATAGTAATATTTTTTAGGGCTTGAAACGCGTAGAATGCGCCATTGATATAGCCTGTCTCAGCGTCTTGGAAGACTCGGTGGTTGACATACTTCTTTAGGTCGTTGTCCCATCGCAACTCCTCGTTGTTCTCCAGCATTTCAGCTATTCGAGGGAGTTTCTCGAACTCTTTTTGGATTTCAGGCATTTGGTGTTTTCCTTATACTTTCTTGCTCAGAAGGTCTTCGAGATACTCCATAACAATTCTGCGTTCCGTTGGATTCTTGGCGTTCTGATATGCCAATCGGAAGGGGTGCAGAGCTTGCATGTATTGATCCTCTAATGTGACAGGGGCTTTCTTGCGGTTGTACTTGCGATAAAGTTCAATTGCTTTCTGTTGATGTGCACGACACTCCAGTTCTTGCTCTATAGGGAGGGAATACTCTTTAGAATCCTCCTCGCTCAGTTGTGTTAGGACTCTAAATCCCTTTTCAGTCTGTTCAACCTCAAAGCA